AAATTCTATGTGTGTGGCGTTACGATCTTTGCGATCTTTGCCTTCATGTTTTTGTTGTCTCTTTCGGTTGCATTCGTGCCTGGTCTCACGTGTTCATCAGTTTTTGTCACAGTCCGCCTCAGTCCACACGGCCCAGGTCGTTCCTATCGCCACTACGAGACGGTCTCGAAGTGGTCGGGCAGGCGCCGACCGGTCTGACCAGACACGGTCCTTCTGGCAACGCAGGGGCAGAGCTTGGGTCCGAGCAGAGCAATACACTCGTGACTCGTGGGTGACGACCCCCCCCTGTCGCCCAAACACCTGAACCCAAAGGCAACACCGAAAAGAAAAGACCAACCTTCGTTGCTTCCCTTCGTTGCTTCCCTTTCCTATGCTTAGGGTAGGGTCAGGTCGAGCTTGTACATCAACCTGTTCATTACATTTATCGGCATTTATCATCCGTTCATGTTCACAAAATTATTGTTTTTGTTGGGCTGGTCGCCCCTGGCCTTTCTCTGGCAGAACGGCTTTCGCCATTGGAACTCAAACCCAACCATCGGACATGTCCAGTTTGCTCGATGGCACGAGGCTGGAAGAAGCGGGCATTGAGATTGACCGTGAGCAGCTCAGAAGTGGCATTGAGATTGACCGTGTTATTCATGGGTGCACCAAGTAGTTGACCCAAAACCCTGTTTGCGGCGCAAGGGGGCGCGGAGGTTGGAAGAGGTTTCATCGTCTTCACATCGAAGTTCGGCTTATTTGAGGTGTGGGGGTTTTGGTCGAGTGGTGTTTCGCTCCACTCCATCCCTCGCAGGTCCCGTGACAGGTTGGTGGGAGAGCTCGAACTCGGTACATGACATCTGCATGGGTGCACCAGGGATGTGTTTGGATTTATGGTAATTACTATTTGGTTGAGGCTGTTTTTAGAGGATTCCAACATGTTCTAGGCAAGTAGGTTTGAAGAATACTCCGGGTTTTGCAGCGGGCACCTGGTTTGGATGTGTTGTTCACGCAGCTTATGATTTTTTACAGCACAATTTGTAAAGAGTGTACATGAATGTGCATGTGTTCTCATGCAACCAGGTGAGAAACCACAATGCTGTCAAGGTTGCATTCAACAGAGGGACGAGAGATCGCAACACGTTGGCAAAAAGGATGCAAAGCGAAACAATTCCACAAACAGTATGTAGCATTGATACAAGTGCCACAATGTGCCACAATGACACAGGCGCGTTCTATCAAAACAGTGCAGGTCAGAAGAAAACACCACTGAGATAGGCATTTTTGTTGCCTCTCGGGCCGTGCAATAGACAGCTTTTGGAGATGTTTGATGCCCTTCGTTTCCACGAATTCACGTCCAACTCCCTCCGCTTTCATTGGAGTTCGATAGAGTTTAGATGGCCTGTCACCGTGACGAGCTGAAAACCATGGAGGTCTAGGAACACCGGCGAAAGCATTTTGGGGGGAAACCGGGGAAACCCCGGAAACCCCGGCGAAAGCGTTCGAAGAGGTGGAAAAGAAGCTTTCGACGTTTGGTCCTTGGACGTTTTGGCCTGTGTCTCTTGGTCCTTCGGTGCATGCTCCGAGCACTGTGAGTTGTTGGAATTCCAGAGCAACGGACCAGGTTGCGTTACTGCAGTACTGCATCAGGGACGGATGCTCGAGATAGACAGAACAGGTGGAAAAGGTTCACCTTTATTTTCCCAGGAAACTGAGGGGGTCAGGACCGTCAGACTCTGACTCTTGCCATCTCTGGGGCCATCTCTGTAACGCTTGATGTAAACCTACGATGTCGCAGCTGAATGCTGTCGTCCTGCTGCAAGGTGCTACTTACACCGCTGTGATTGGCGCCTGGGCCTCCGTTGGGGACGCTGCACAAGCAGAGGACAGAGAGGCTGTGTGGGCAAATCCTGAAGCATCCTTCACGACAAAAAGAACAGAATCATTTTACAAAGTGCGGATTCATATCGCAAAACATCTTTGAACTTCAATCACTGAAGCAAATTCGCTTGTATCCGACTGTGCTTTGGCACTCAGACAATACACACATGTTTGGATGTTGTACAGATTCGATACCACAAAGATGCAAAACTGATTGTTGAAAGCCAAAGTCACTGGCTTGGGGTGGTTCCCCAATACATGTCCAATTTGATCGCATTTTGCCGTGTTCCACATCGGGCCCAAAGCAAACCAAACATTGTTTGGGAACACCACCCAGATTCAGAGCATTTGGTTGTGGGCCAGTGGACTGGAATAAGAAGGTTATAAAGTCATACAAAGTCGGCACTACTAAGTCACAATGGACCTCCAGTCTTCAGCATCTCAAAAAGAAGTTCAGAACCGTTCAAATCCTAATCGAAAAGTCATTACAAGAATCCCAGATGTGCTACGAACCCGGTTTGCCAAAATGTGTGCTACAAATGAACGTTTAGAATGCTCTCAAAGGCAGAGCATCAATCAATTGCGTTCGTGTTTGGACTTGCAAGGGGTAATGAAGTGTGGAAGCAGCATATCATTTGCATCAAGAATCCTTGGAGCATCCAGATGGACTATTCTACAGAATACCTACATGCCACCCTTTGCAATTCAAGGATTTGGAGTCACCCGTGCTATCTTCTTGGGCTTGCAAAGTGCTTGAGGGCTAGGCCACAGGGGGCCCATGGTGGAAGTCATAAGCTGAAGGAGCTGATTGATGTACAGCTTTAGAACTCTCCAAACACCAGCCATGGAACTACATTTGTTTTTTCTTGGTTCCTTGAGGCGAATCGCTTTGCCAGTGCTGAGTTAAGCGAGAGCGACAAATTCATCAATAATTCCAAACATACAGTTTGTTAAAGCCCATTCAACCACTGAGCAAATGAAGCAATGGAGGCTATTGCTATTAGGTTCCTTACCTATAGGCCTATAGGTAAGGTTTTGGATGCTTTGGACTCCGTAGCCTTCGCAGCGAGAGCCGCTGCATGAAGGAGTGGTTTACACGCATGATGGAGGAAGAAAAGGCAACAGCAGAGGCCATCCGAGCGGGAGGATCGGCACATCGGCCAATCGAGCATCGGTGGTCATGGCTGAGGAAATGCAAACTTGATGTGGTTGGTGAATCAATGGCGATGGACATTGGGGATCGACTATTGATTATTGCTTTGATTCTGGACGACCGCAAAAAAACGGAAAACTGCATGAACATCCGAGTAGGCGGCCGGAGTGGCGCTGGGATGAGCCGAAAGAGGAGGTGATGTTCCACACTGTGGTAGTGGGTGTTGCTATAAGACACCACATGTCAAGCAACCGTTTGACCTTTTCCTACAGGCTCACTTAGGGATTTTGGACACAGAAACTGCCGCAGGCCACATTTTTGTGATTCTGCCATATTTGGCTGGGTTTGCACAGTGGGTGAAAGCATGAATCGAAGGAATCGAGATGCAGCCAAATTATGCCGTGACTCTGGGCTTTTTTGTTGCTGAGGGCCCAGACCGTGTTTATTCTTGCGGCCTGTGGCAGTCATATCACACATTGATCATGTGTGTATATATATTATACGGTACACCTGCCGATGGAATTTGGGCCCAGTGCCTGGGAATGCCTGGGATCAGGGAGCGGATGACCGTTTTGATTGGTCCGGCAATATCCAAGGCCTTAGCCTTTTTGATCGACGCCTTGTTGCTTTCCGTCCGGGTCGCCGGTGGACCGGTCGGAGCGCCGGTGAGAAGGGGCCAGATGAGTGGATGGAGTCACCGTGCGGGTTCCAGCAAGGAAAAGCAACACGGCATGGAAGACCTGTATATATAATATATATATATATGTATATATATATATACATGCAGTATATACAGTAATATATTATATTATATTATATATATAAATGTATAATATTGTATAATTATATATATAGAGAGAGAGAGAGTAAGTGCATGTATAAATTAAATATCGATCTGTGCTGTTCAATGGTTTTTTGACATGATTTTTCTCCAATCTAGCAATCATTCATAATCATTCGAGCATGCGAATGTTCTATGTATCATTGCCGTCTACCCAGACTGCCGTGAAGTGAAACACAATCTTTACAACCAACTCTTCAGGTTAGGATACCCGTCAATATAATGTGTTAAGAATATTCAATGATATTGTATTTCTGAGCTATATATAGAGTCTGTTGATGTCTCTTGGAGCAAACCCGACCCGAGGGTTCGTGTGTAGCCATGGAATTAGCAATACTTTTGGTTGGTTTGAGCTAAGGTGTATTGTTTCCAACCTCAGTCACCACCAACTCCTTGCACAGACATTGCCAACCTTTGCGCCAAATTCTCCCCACGCGCCAACTTCAGCGCGGATCGGCCCAAACCGCGGACGTGTGCTGCATGCACCACACCGGCGACCTGGCATAGAACTTGGAACAAAGGATTATTGATTGTGTACCATAGATGGCCTTCGGCCTTTTATGGCCTTGGTTGGTTGATCAATACATACTCGTAGAATACCTCCAGGTGAACAACCAATTCATACATTGTATGTACCAAATCGGCCCCCCTATTCCCAAAAGGACATTATTGATGTGTACTATGACTGGACCCTCCTGGCACCTACCTCAAAGTGTCGAACACGTCACCCTTGAAAAGAGGGTAGCAGTGAATCCATAGGGTACTATACTCATCCAAACTCATGTTTGCTGATTTTGAGTTTGAGGGGTGCAGACGGTTTGATAAACAGCCCAACAACTGCTTGTCGTCACATAGATGGTTTTATGTTCATTCATATTGAAATGTTTACTTTTCTATATTCTTATTGTATGGACATTGCTTGCCTTTCTCTTAAATCTTGTTCTTTGTCGTGTGCATGATCACCAATCACAGAGACCCACCCAGGGCGTCTCGAAAATGAGGTCCCCTGAACTGATAGAGCATCATGTTTTTTCCTCTACCCTCAGGGGACATGCGAGTTCAGGCTCCCCACATCCAATTCCCTTCGAAGCCTCGAGTGCCCTGAAAAAGCTGCGTTCACTCACCTCGAGTCGCTCCACACCTCGCAGCCACTGAGCTCATCGACGTCCGAACTTGCGCGGAACGCGGAACCGCCGAGCCCAGCGATGCTGCCGTGCCGAGCCCAGCCGGTCAAAGAGCTCTACAGCCGTCGGCTGCGGGACGCCGTACTCGCGCCGGTGGGGCCGGAGCGACGGTGCTTACGGCTCGTGCATATCAGTGATACGCACGGGAGCTTCTATGATGATACTTGGAGGTGAAAGAGGTGATGATGATGGACTGTGCTGGGAAGGGTTTAGGGTTTAGTTTTTTGTTGACAATATCTGGTTCTGGCTGACAAATGAAGTCGGACTTTTGGTTTCACACATCCTGAGTGATGTCGATTTCAAAAACGCTCGCTTTTCTAAGTTGGATTAAATGGCTGGCCGGGTGATTGTTCTTTGAGAGGATTAGTGGTAACAAGTAAGTGACAGAGAAACTACATGCCATTGGACGCAGTGCTAATGTCCAAGGAGGGGGTCAAGTCGCTGTTCAGCCAAGGTGTCGGAACAAGACCTTAAGAAGGCAACAAGACCTTAAGAAGGCAACAATCTTTAGAATGTGTCGACATGACGAGGCTGCAGCGCTCGAGTGATTTGTCAAAGAAATGTAACAAACATAAATAAGAAATACTCGAGACATACACCAGAAGTGGATCAAGACCTAGACACCATGCCTCTGCCCCAATGAATGTTAGGCCCATGAATTAGTGTTCACATTGCAGCACGCATGCACGTGAACTACAACTTGCGCCATGATTCGTTAACATGGCACGGATTTATTTGATGTTGCCATATGCATGTAGATAACCATTACCGCTCACAGAGCAAGGGTCGCATAGCGAGCGGATCCGAGCAGATCAAGTAACAAAAACCCTCTCCCCCTTGTGTTGCCCCTGTTCAGCTCTTGGCTGGGGAACGCGTGGCGTGGCGTGGTAGGTCGTGGGTTTGAGGTCCCGGAGGGAGACATCCTCATCCATAGTGGCGACTTCAGCAACTATGGGCTCCAGCATGGCCTGGAAGAGGTCGAGGCCTTCGTGTCGTACTTCAAGTCGCTTCCGCATCAGTACAAGGCGCAGAATCGGGAAGAACCATTGCCCGTGGAGCACCCAAAAAAAGGCTGCAACCTTGGCACGGCTTCGAGCTTGTGATTGTGCAAACGAACTTGCGAGGGTTTGCAGAGGTGGTGAACTCAGGCGAATTTGGGATTATTTTGGTATTGGTGTAGACTTGGAAAGTACTTGGAAGTACTGCAGTACTGGAAGAAGCCGCTTGCAGTTCTTGCAGTACTGTCAGGTCGTGATAATATGGAGTCGGTTCATGTTGTTGATTCTGCTTGATTCTTTGGGTTTTTGTGCATGCGCCCCATCATTTCACTTGCCAAAGGTTTAGGACCATCAAGTTTAAGGACATTGATGGAGACTTACGATTCGTCACTGGGACTGGGAGGGTGTCATTTTTATGTATTGTTCAGTACATGCTCCCGACATGTCATAGGGTATCGAGAAGCTGGGAGGTTTGACTTGACACCGAACAACACTTCTTCTGGGCTAAGCCAGGGGCAAACTATTAGATTTTGCACTTGTTATATGCCAGGAGCAACCAAAACCTCAAGAAAGATTACCTCTTTTCTCCGAAAGCATGTGCTTTCGCATAATTACAAGACGCAACATTGTAGGTTTTGGCAGGTGCTGCTGGTGTGTTGATCACTTATTGAAGCTACCTTATCCCTCCTTGAAGCTGAGCGATGTTATATACACTGACAGTGGCCATGCACGTACACTATACATGTCGCAGTCCACCTTGTACGAGACTCCTCAAGAATCACTTCTGAGATCTTTTGATTCATGACCGCTGCACATCTTCTACATCCCCCTAGAATAATCATTTCTCTGCAGGTCCGAAGTGCAAGTCAAACCAGTACCTTTTGAAAAGAACAAGTTTTACGAGTACCTTTTGTTTGTCGGAACCCACGCCCTTTGATCCGAGCAAGTTCAACATCACCACGCTAATGGCACATAGGTCCTGCAAGAATGCACCAAAAACTTTAAATTCATGCGTAACAATACTATCAACAATTGCAAAACAATGTCAGGATTTCCTTACATATTACAAACATTAAGGGGACTAGGGACCTGTTACGCTCCTGTTACGGTTTTAGAAGATCATTTGCAGTTTTAGAAGTCTCCCGGAGGGGGTTGTTACGGAACTGTCACGCCAAATAATTGGCCCACAATAAATTTATGTTTGCTCTTAATGTCGAATCATGAGCCTCAAAACCACCAAGAACACCTTTGATTTCACTCAAAATTGCCTTTGATTCCCTTCCAAACCACCTGAGAGATCATGAACACTATTTAAAACGGAACCAAGTAAAACTAGGTTCTGATAAAGTAAATATAGTGTTCATGATCTCGTATTCAAAATGAACAAGCTGAACGAGGTCATTGACTTTAGTTTATTAATGTTGTTTCATTTGTATGATATGGGCCATTGGGTGTTCGATTAGTGACAAGAGCTGACTGACCTGGGAGGTTTTAGTGCCCGGCAACCACGAGCTCTACATGGACCGTTTGCCTTTGGAGCAGTTGCGTGAGATGTTGGGCTGCACACCAGGCGTCCACATCTCGGGCAGATGTCATAGCTAAGCTGTGCTGTGTGCTGGCACATCGGAGTAAATCATTGGACTGAATGTCCTTCTAAAGCTTTGGTGTTACTAGACAGGTAGCACTGTGTGCGTCATTCCTAGACGCAGTGTTGGGTTCATGCCTGTACTTTTGCCTCGGCACGGTTACTTCATGAAATCTCCCCAGGTTTGAGCCAAGCAGAACGCACTATATATGTATATATATATGTTCCTTGTTCTATAATAGATTGCTTGTGTGTTGATGAGGGTTCCAGAGACAGGTAGGAGGAGTTTCTTTCCACTGACGCGAAACATAGCGTAAAATCTAACATAAAGCAGCATAGGCCTGGAAAATGCCAGGGTTTTAGGTTTTCACTCCACTAAGCAAACCCCTCAAGCATGCCTCTAGAAGAGTGTTCCACCCGCAAGCATCTCAGCTCCACTCTCACTCCGTCAAAACAACACATTCGTGCACAATGTACACATAGAATAGAACTCCTTACAAAGAGGAAGAGGAGGAAGAATAGGAAGAAGGAGGAGGCTCTGTGGATTTGGCAAAGTTGCCCCGACCCGCTTGAAGCCGATTGCATTTGAAGGTTTTGGGATCGACCTTGGAAGGTTTTGGATCGACCTTCGTTTTTGGATATGCTACTCATACCCTGTTTGATATGCTATGACCCCCGGTTTCGGGTTGAGGGTCTACAAACCCGGGGTCATACTCTACCCCCCTTTTGATATGCTACTGAAGGTTTTTGGATCGACGGGTCTCAGTGACGGATGAACGTGAGGCAGCAACCGCTTCTTGCTGGTGGATGAAGAGGTCATCGGGATCGGATGGACCTCGGCCCGCTTCTTCGAATTCGTTTTTGTCTTTTCGCATTTCGCCCAAAGATTGAGATTTTCTGTGCATGGACAAGATATACCCTGCATGTACCGAGCATGTTTTCATCACTAGAATGAGATTCCGGCTTTGAGGAGCCTGGAGACGTTCGAGGTATGAGGCCATTCTGACAGAATTCCCGGATCCATCCAGCAAGGGCATTTGGGTCTTGGGGGAACGGCCCCGAGAACAAGCACGGTGAGGGGATCACGAAAGCACAGAAGACATTTTCATGAGGGCTCCGTTTCAGCGTGAAACCCGCAAGACCTTTTCATATCTTTTGATAATCTATCTCAGATGTTCACCCGACTTGAATATGCATGTATGTATGTAGAATTAATTAGAATTATATATATATATACTAGTTACTATAGTATATACTATAATATACTATACTGCATATATTTTAAGAAATATCAGCAGCCTAGGCTAGGACAACAATCCAATCCAGACGAGTGCACGGCGATCATCCTGGTTAATTGTGTTTGATTATTGTGTTTTGGCGTCCTTCTTAAGCCAAAGCAAAAATGTAGATAAATTATTAACAAATCTAAATCCCCTCATTGAAAGATTCTCTTATTGAAGTGGTTTCTCTGTGAGAACCCCTGCTTGGCTGGTGTGATTCCGGGATCTCACTGCTTGGCTGGTGAGTCACCCAGAGCTGTTGTGCCAGCTGTAGCTAGCAGCTAGTGAAAGGATCTTCATTCTTCCCCCCTGTCTCTTTGAAGAATCTCCAAAATTGAATTCGATCCAGTTGTATGTTTGAAGACCCATGTACCCACACATGTACATATATATATACACTGTATATACCATATCTACGTCAAGATACTGCATGTGTTGCAACGTAAACAAAACATATCATAATCATAATATATATAATAGCAACGAAATTGAATTGTATATAATCATTGTATATCAAATATAATATAAGTACACAGTTATAAGTATGTCCAGTCAAGCACACACACATACAGTGTATATATATACACATATTTATAACATCCGATGCTTCAAGCAAAAAGAGAAACCTCGCGAAACACCTCCGACTCGGCAGGTCACTATTGAGGGCATCAAGTTCTACGGCTCTCCCTGGACTCAGTGCAGCATGGCCTGGGCGGCGACCACCGAGACGAGCCGTGCGGAGCGCTGGCGTCACATCCCGGAGGACACCGACGTGCTCGCCGCTGAGCTCGGAAATCCGTTGGACCCATGACACCGAGTGTGGTGGATGGAAACGTTCGGAAAGTATAAATAGATATAAACAGTAACATCCTTTTTTGCAGGGGGTGTGTTTTAAACACATGTAAGTTTGCAGGTGCTCCCCAGCCTGTGGTTTGTCCAAAGGTATAGTCTGAGTCTAGGGCCCCACAATGAACTGCAGTTTAAAGAGATGCTCAACATGGGTTTTGAAGCAGAATCTGTGCCACAGATGTTCCACAACTGATTCGGTGAAGGTCCTGTCGCCCCTGCATCAGCTGTTCAGCCCTGGCTCGGCTGTATGTGTTATTTTCCATTCTGTGTTGGTCGTTGTATCCGACCGAAGGAAGATGTCTTCAAAAAAAGACCGATTGATTTTGATTTAGTAGTATCATGTAGTATCAATATTCAGGAATATGTTTATTCCGGAACACAACGTGGACTTGTCTCAAAACCCTTAAAAGAAAAATCACATAAAACGTTTCGACTGGTGCACGTGCACGCGTGTTTTTCGCGATCCACCTCACGGGTTTGGTGTTGGGAGTTGGATGTTCACACCACTACAGTGGTTTCAGAGTAGATGGCACTGGCACCCCAAGATGTCCTCTAGATGGGGGTCCATATAAACCACCTCTTGGGGTCTGTGTCATCTACTCTCAATCCAATATAGAGAGAGAGAGAGAACGTCTTCTCGCATGTTCAACGTCGGATGTTCTCAACGAAAAACGTGGAGAGAACATGAGAGAACATCGCGCAGAGGTCACGCACATGCCACCCTACAAGATCTTCGACCTGGCCTGGCAGCCGGAGACTGGGCGACGACTGGTCACGTTCTCACACCGTGGGTCACACGGTCACCGTGGAGGTGAGAACTGGAGAACTGTCCATCCAAGTGGATTGGAAACCATCACTGGAGATTGTGTGCTTGTGGGACATTCGCGCGCTGCCACGTCTCCTTTGTGACTCCTTTTTAACTCCTTCATCTCGATACCCAGAGACAAAACTGAAGCCGTCGATAGCCGTGGCAACTTGAGGATGGGAAGTTCTACCACTGGGGCCTCTTGGCATGTGCGAGTCTGTGGTTCAGGTCTGAATGCGGTTTATGTAAGCAGCTGATCCCACCCAAGTCCAGCAAATCTGCCTTGTACTCCAAGACTCAGCGAAACTCACATTTTTGTTCCAGTGATCAATCAACCTGGGCTGCGGCCCCCCCTGGACATCGGGATGTGTTTTTCCCTTTCATGTGCATTTTTGTTGATATCATCCAGTTCTTTTTTGGGCCCCATTCCTCACCACCCGCCCACTTTTTTGGTTTGTGAAGACAAAAAAATGATGAACATGTGATGATGTCACTAATTGTGACATGCTTCACCCACCTATGGTGTTTTCATTGAGCGTCTTGAGGGACGCAAGAGCAACTTGTCCATCTAGAAACGTCGGGGCGAGCTAAAGTCTAGAGTGCATCACAGGCTGCAAAAGAGGTTTTGAGCAGGAGGAGTTGTCCATGCATATATACTCGTTTGTGACAGTTGTAGCAGATGCATGCAAGGAGGCACTTGGCAATATTGTATACTGTATATTTAACATTATGTAGCATGTCTATCATAAATATACAGTATTTGTCTATTATGTGTTTCTTCTACTGTAAATCTAAAGATGCTCAGATGCTCTGCCTCACATGAAGCCACCACAAATGCCTGGCCGAGGCTGCCAAGCATTGCTGAAGCGCATCGGCCAGGTCTTGCCAACGCTCCACTGCTTCGGCCACGTGCATGACGAGGTCATCGGCGGATGGAGGATGGAGATGAGAACTTGATGGATGGAGTGATTTATAATGATTTATATATTTCTCGGAGTCGGTGAAACCTCAGGGGTCACATGTGAGTCACATGATGGGTTGACTTCGGTCCTGATGCGGTGTCGGGTGTTTTCTTCGGGTCGGGTGGGGAATCACATCCTGGTCACTTAGGAGTGTTTCCACGCAGAGCCGCAGGTGTTCCACGAAGCAGCGGGGGTAGCTGCTGCCTTTAAATTGGCGTGTGATGACGGATGATGACGGTCTGTCAAACCCATGGCAGAAAAGATCAGAAAAGCAGTTGAACAGCATAGGGACAGCTTTTTGTTCGATGGATTCATTTAACATGGCGATGTTGTGTCGAAGATGTTGTGTCCTCTTCAAAGCCCAATGTTGCGTGGATCGCTAATGGTTGTTGCCCAGGTGTTCTGAGCCGGACAAAGATCACCGGTTTGGGGGGGCTGAACCTGCGGCACATTGAGTTCTACGAAGCACAACAAAAACAAAACAACGATGGAAAAGGGAGAAGAAACACTTCAGTTCATGACGGTAAGAACAAAAACAAGAGCAAACATACAAACATTTGCAACAGAACCGCTGTCTCCAGGTTTGTTTCATCCACGTTTGCGGGTCGATTGTCACGTGGCAGGTCGGCCGCAAGAATTTGAGTTTTGGCGCTGACCTGGAGGTGCCTGAGCTGCTTTGTAGTGTGCCACATGGTGGGTAAGTAAAGGTATCTATCTATACACGTTGGAATTCAACTGAAAGATAGCTATCTCCATGCAGGTGTATAACATGTTTCGTGCTTTGATGGTAATGTGGTGGGTTAAATTTGGGGGTGCCTCCTTACACACAGCATCCACTGTCCATTGAGTTCCAAGTCATGGTAAGTTTTTTCCACAAAATAAAATTCAACTGATGGCTGGATCGAATTGAACCAGTATGAAACCATCAATGATTCATTGCTGCATGGCATAATAATATATATATATATATTACAATAAGTGACTCCAAGAAGTGACCAAGAAGTGACGACCATAAGTGACTACTGGCGACCATTCCAAAAAAAAAACATGAAATAACAAGATCTAACTCCCGAGGTGATGTTCTCCAATGCCGCGTTTGATTTGAAGCGGACGGCCAACCTCTTCGATTTCCATGTGCCGGCTCCTGTGTCATGCAGTTCGTGGACAAAAGTCCTAACTTAGATTGTATGCACCGTAAAAAGAAACAAATGAAACTCACCTGTAGCGAGGTTAAATGGTTCAACCATGTTTAACCCATTCCATCATCGTCTCTGAAGGCATAGCCCTGCCCCTTCTGGGGGATCAGTCTCATTATCTACTGTATCTCTTGCACATCATTTCCGGCCGGTCTCAATTACATAAACCAAGCTGTTGGGAACCCGATGGACCGGCGCAGAGGGGATTCCGGACGGCATGTACCAGCATGTAGCTGCCTCTGGGCACCAGCAGAATGCCAGGCCGAGGACCTTTCCGATCGCTGACGTGGCCGGTTGTTGAAGGTCGATGCGTCGACCGACCAATCAGGTCGTGAGGTGCAGAGGTCCTGCACCTCCTGTCACTGGATGTTCTTGGAACAAAGGCATTGGTGATCAGTGATCAGTTGTGAGTGTTTCCCCCTGACCTCTGCACGCATGAATGTCCGGAACCAAAAAGAAACACAACAAACCCAAGAGTATTGATCTTTACAGGATAGGTCTGAATTCGATTCCCATTCTAATCACCAAGGTTGAACCTCCTGCAGTCATGGCCCCTCCCGCTGCCGCTGTGGACCCGCCTGCAACCATGCCCGCCACGGTGAGCCTGGACGGAGGGGAAATCCCAGTTACCCCCTGGCAGGAGGCAGTTGCTAAGAGTGTGTAAGAGAGAGTGTGTGCGTGTGTGATCAAATTGATGCAACCGTGCTCCATAGACTTTACTGTAAATTCAGCTCAGCTGCTCGAAGGGCGTGGAATTCGAGCATTGGACTGGGTGCCTGAAATTGAATCATAGTTGGATTCGCTCAGCTCTATCTACACGAAGCACTGATGGTATGGCTCTCGTTCCAGGTGAGAGGATGGACCCTTCAAAGGTCGCTGTGCCAGATTTGTTCCATTCCAGCGCTGGGTCGTTCGATGAATTCGTTCGAATGTCAGGACTTGTTGGACACCGGCAGGACACCATCGACTCCGCTGAGACAGCGACTCCATGCCCCGTTGGATGAGGTGGGCTACCTGCAGGTGACCGGCCAAGACTTGGTCCTGGATTTGGATGCTGAGGACCCTGCACAAGAGACCGTTTTCCTCTGGAACCTCGGAAGACGGGCCGCGTCCTGTTGAGGGGAGGAGAAGTGGTCTGTGGCGGACTGGTATGGACTGGGACTTCGCCACAGGAACGGACGGAGGCTGCAATTGGTCTTCTGCTTATCAGCTTATCCCGATGATCGACAGATGTCCAGCGACAGAGATGCTTTGGAGGGACGTTTGGGTGACCGAATTGGAAGTTGGTGAACGCTGCTGGTTAACGACGGACCGGTCAGTACCGGTTGCTACACCGGAACAGGCCATTCAGGCCGTTTGAGAGGTCTGGGCCCACCGAAGGCCATATGTTTTCAGAACGACTTCGATAGCTCACTGCAGCTTACTCGTTGACATGTAGAACCACAGAACTACAGTACGTTGTCCAAGAGAATGTCTCTTCTGATGCACATCACCCCGGGCCGCCATGTGAGGTACCTTGAGGCAACCTTACTTTCCCAAGAGTAGGGTTCTCTTCTCGTTTTTTGTTCACCCTTGAAACCTGATCGAGTCATCAACTATTGCCTGGTGGGTTGAACACAAGGCGCAGCTGTGAACCATATGATATGCTACTACGAATCTACAAAGTACTTGTGTTTGATCTAAGGAAACGATTGCCTGCCAATCGGCCCAACCAGCTTTGGCAATTGCATCAGACACTTGGTCTGACAGTTCTTGATCTCACCCGGGTGTGGGTCCCGACCTGTTGAGTGTCAATCGGGCGTTTGTTGAGCTACACCAGAGATGGGTTGTCATGGTTCAGTTGCAAGGAAGACTGTAGTGGATTTATGGCACCTCTTGCTTGCAAAAATTATATGCGGACAATCTATCCAAACCTTTTTGGGATGCGCTGGGTTTTGTTTTGACCCACAAGTGTAAGGTTGTGTCAGGGTGTTGAGGATGAGACGCCTACTTTGCAGTACAATCAGGCCCAATGCAGCCTTGAAATGCCCATTCAAGGTCAATGGAAAGCTTCAGCCTCTACGGATTTCCCCAACAACCTTAAGACTCAGCCTTAGACAAGCAAGTCTAGAGTCTACAGTGATGCCGCTTTGGAGACACCCACATTGACATATTGCATGAGGAGGATTGGAACAAATCCATGGGATCCGGCCTCACTCCATTTTGGGTCACTCCAATTGCTCCACGCACCACAGGATCGGCGACGAGCACAGCTGCCGCTATGGGATCCGTTCGATGTGTGTCTCGGTGTCGCCACGCGGAGACACGCATCATCCCCCGGGTGTTGCTATTGTAGCGACCATCGACAATCTGTGTGTGGTCGACCACGTTTTTCAGATGGACTATTTTTATATATTTTGATAATAAATGATAATAAAATGGCCGACCTCTATTCTCGGTAGCAACAGGAAGACTGTATTCTCGGTAGGATGAGGTGTCGGCGTATCTCGCAGTCGTCGGGAGTAGTTGGGACTACTGAGCTTAGTAGTTGTCATCGAGACGGAACTCGAGTAGTTGGTCGGATCACCCTGCTGAAAGCAGATCCAATCAGAGGAGGCAGTTGGCTCGGTTGGGAATCAGGTGCCTTTTTGGCTGCATGGAATATGTGTGTCCTTTGCAAGTGAATGCACGCTTTTTGTGAAGGCAACCGTTGAGGCTACAGTGCCAGTTCTTAAGACACACCAATTGAACTATAGTAGCTGCGCTTGCTTGTGGCGGCTGGACCATAGCCTTGATGCGGAATAGAAACGCTATGACCTCAGTGCAGATTGTGTGACAGATCGACCTAGTGCTCAACTTGGTTCCCTTTGTACGGGTTTCATCAACTACACCCTATTTCAAGTTTTGATTTCTGCATAGCATAGCAGCGCACATAAGACATGGTCAAAAACAGTTGGTGAGTGTCAGTTGGGGCTGTTCGTTTCCATCCGGTTCCACCAAACTGGCCTTGTTTAACATGTTCCTTTGCGCCACCTGGAGCGGTAGCCAAAACTTTCAGAACCTTTTTCAACCCCACTTGTTTCACTGTCAAGTTCAAGCTCGTTGACCATCACACAACTCGCTGACCGTGTTACACGGCGCAGATGTAAAGTGGAATGACCATGCAGCAAACGAGTGTGGATCATGTCCCCAAGTCTTCTCCCTACCCCATTAATCTTTAATTTGCACAAGCTTTTTGCTGAACCACGAGCAGGTCGAGAACAAACCAACCTAAACAAAATCACTCGCTAGCTCCCACATCGCCGTATTTGGGGGTTGAGTAAAGTAGTCGGATTGTGGTTTGTTTGGTCGACCACATCCCTGGTTTATCCTCGTTTCATGACTGCACTTCACCCACGGTCCGCGGTGCAGACCGTTTTCCACAGGCAATGGCCAGCTCTTGCAACGCATCGGCGACGGGCTGAAGGCCAGGAGGAGTGAGTTTGGCGACGAGTGTTGGTTCAGCTGATAGACTGGGGAGCAGGCTGGTGGACTCAGGAAGGGTAACTTTTTGCGTCCAAAAGGCACCTTCGGAAGGATGATGGAGGGTATTAAAGAGTCACATCCCATGAAAGAGATGTTTTACGGATCTTTGCGGATGGTTTTGCATGAGGCTTTCTTCTAACCAGGGAGTTCCGCTGGTGTTTCCATGGTGGGAGCAGACCATGCCAGACCTTGGATTGATTTTAGACAGTCAAATATCCGCCTGCATGCCTTCATCCAAAAAGACATGACCAGAAATCCATTTCTAGAGCTCCATGCTTAAAAAAGATTTTATTTGAGATGCACCGTTGAACATCTCCATTTTGACACCCGTCGTTATGAAGTTGTTGAAACAACATCCATTTTCTCTTCGTTACACCCTTCGCAACCAGCGTCCGCAGCCAGCGTCGCTTCGGAACAGTCCACGGGGTTTTCAGCCCAGTTCACTCAGTGGTTTCACCCAAGAATCGCCCCGTTCGGTTTCAGCCCCAAGAATCTGGGCCCGAAGCGAAAAGGAAGAGGACTTGGCTCGTTTCTTCCGAACGGCCCAGGGATTAGAGAACGATTTCCTATATAGCCGGCGAATCTAAGGACAGGCAAGTAAATCGCTTAGTGTACATTCCGTCAGAAGGGACGTGAAAATGAGTATTGCTGGTACAGACACAACTTCCTATCCGAGAAAAGGGCTGACTCAGGTGAATCTATGCGACAGCTTAACTACGCAGATGCGGCTGCAAAACTGATCATTTTACTTCACCAACGGCTCCAGAATTGAATCAGATTGGAGATGCACTTCACAAGGGGATTTGGTGTCACGAATTATCTATGTACTTCAGACTTTTCACGTCCAAGTTGGATAGCTGATAGCAGGCCCATCCATCATCATTTGCTCTTAGATGGTCCCTCGCTGTCTTGTTCCAAGAAGCCGATATGAGGCGATGACTTGGGCTGAAGATGGTGTTGTCTTAGACCACAACGGCTGCACCTTGGTCTGCCCGCGGCGCCTGCGGAGCGGGCAGCTGCTGGAGATTGCGCCTGTTCCACATGAGGACGTTCCATTTGGAGACCACCTCGTGTATTGTTTCGGGTGATGTTGCGTGCTTCTACCATGAGCAGCCTTTCCTTTCATTTCTCTGACACTCACTCACTTGCACCCATTCACTTGCACTCGCTCACCCACTTACACTCACTCACATGCATTCAACTCAGTCTTACACACAACTTACACTCACTCACAATCGCTGACTCACTCCACTCCGCTCCACTCTCCACACTCCACACTCCACTCCACTCACATTGACACCATTTTGCTTCTCATCTCTGCTCATCAGCTGCATTTCTTCTCATCCGCTCCTTTTCCTTCCACCGTTGCTTCGACTTGCTGCAATGTTAACATATGTTACTGTAACATGTCATTAATGAACCATGAGACAATAGTCATTTGCTTTTTGGCCTGCCAGGATTTGCAATACTACTTTTAATTGCTCCAACATCCAGACCCCGAAATGGATTTAAAAACAGAAAACATTGACAAATCAATTAAAATAAACCTGAGGCAATAATAATCAGCTTTTTTTTATCTCAGATCCCAATTTGCCTTCGGAATGCTTCCTCCCTGCAGCCCTGCTGGATTGTTAGTTATCCTGTGCTTTCCCTTTTACTTCTATTTTTCTCCTATCTTTGTCATGCTCCTGTTCCTTGACTTTTTGTTCTTTTGTGGAATCGTTTTTTTTTTTATCTTTGCCCATCAGGTTTCCAAAAACTTTGGCTAGCCGCTAGCCAAAAGCTTTAGGTGTCTTTATGCAAACCCTATCAAACAAAAACAAAAAAGTTATGTTCAAAGGGTACCCCCTTAGACTCGCTTAGACTCCTACCCCCTGCAATTATAAACCAACCTACAATAATCAACCCCCCTGCAGCCCTGCTGGCCTGTTAGTTATCTTGTGCTTTCCCTTTCACTTTAATATCTCCTAATGAAAGACCCTCTGCCAAATCCCCTCTGCCAAATGGCCTGGAGGTTTTCTATTGAGGGTGAGAGTTTTGACCTACCCCCCCCCAAAAAAAAAGAAGAAATTATAGGGGGGTTACTAATGAGATGTTAACATTAATCACAAGAGCTTCACATGTGGCGTTTTGCTGTCATTTGATTTGGTGTGTTTGAAAGTGTCAATGCAGAAGTCTTCAAGCTTCTGAACTGGGCAAACCCTGCATAGGCAGATTGATAGAGGAAGGGTTCCGCAGTTGCAGGCTCCATTTGGTTATGTAGTCGGATGAAGCATTTAGCAAGCGTTGAGGGTACAGCTTCAGGGGCTTTAGATATTCCTTTTTAGACATAGCCGACATAGCCTTGTTGTTTTGCTTGAGAGCTGACCTCACTTGTTTCAATCAGAAGCATGGTCAACAAGACTGTTCAGCGCCAAAGATCATCAAAGATCAACAAGTTTGTTCAACACAACACTGTAACACGATTTGTTTCAACAAGTCAGTTCACAGCTGATGTTGCTCTTGAACCGGTTCGCGTTTTGGGTCACCGGGCCCGGTTCTTCACCGGCGAGCCAGGAGGCCTTGAAGCTCGAGTTTCTTCCGGTGGAATGCTTTTAGGCCGCCGGGAACTGGAGGGGTCTTGGATGGTATTTCTATGTATTGGTATTGCTGGTCATGTTTGCACACACCATTTCCACAATACAAAACACTAGTATAAAATTCACCTGTTTAGCCATTTCGGGTAGTGGTATGGAGAAACGAACGGAAAACATCTGTGTCCTCTCGCGGCGACTCTCAGCGAAGCCAGGCCAACTCCGGTGCCCCGGGCCCCGGCTTTGTGAAGCGGGGCGTTGTGAAGCGGGGCGTAAGCGCGGTACCCTGAAGATCAGGGCGCTGGAAGAGCTGAAAGACACTGGTTGAGCCAGTTGGATGATGTTGGATGAAAGGAAGTGGAAAAGATGGACTGGTCATGTTGATTGGTTTTGATGTTATCCAACCCTGAATGGTTTGAAGATTTGAAGACGATCCAGGTTGTACAGCAAGGTTGGCTTGTGCAGCACCGCTGACCACCCTGGCTGCTGAATCTCCAGAGAAGAGCCTTTTCTCAGAGCTGTGAGTGCGCATGCGCGCAGCCAAAAGCGTGCCGTCGCCTTCATTCGCCTGCGCCTTTCTTTCATGCAAATTTGAAGTTCTTTTGGTTTTTTTCAACAATCAGCCACGGGCCACTCTCATTCTCTCCGTGTCCTTCGAGGTGTCAATGGCGCACCGCATTCTCTTGTGGCTTTGCACGCTCGTCGTGGCAGCGGCGGATCAACAGGACCGACGATGTTCGTCCTCGTCGGTTGGTCCGTCGTGGACGTACGGCCGTCGAATCACAGGAAGTCACTGAATTCTAGAAGTAGAGCATCGGCGAAAACCCTCTTGCTGAAGCGGAAGCTACTACTTCTCTGTCGCAATCAAGGATGAATAGAAAGGGGATCCAGTCGAGTCTAAGACTAAGACTTGACTGGGAGGAATGCAGTCTACGAGTCTACGACTGCTTGGATGTATTGGTGAGTGAAAGACTCCCACGTGCTGCACACAAACATACTCTCGAGTGCTCTACATGCAAGTTGCATGAGGATTGATTGAACGGAAAGGTCAATCATGTCCAATCAGGTCAAACCACTATCCTACGAGCCTCAGATTTTGTTGAGTTTTGCAGCAACTGGAGAAGTACTGAGAGGGTCTGTGCGGAAGGCCCCATGCAGATGAACAGACACACATCCTCAGAGAAATCCACAGTTAAGAAGATCTTAATTAAGAAGCAGCAAACCTTCAATGTCCACCGATTAAATGAGTTCACGAGAGATCCCAAAATAGCACAAAACCTTGGCAGGATCCGCCCCCCCAAGTTAGCCGCCTGGTTTGAAAGAGTCCAATTCAGCATCACTATAGCCCCACCCGAAATCGTCCGTAACTCGGCCGTCTCTCAGCAGCAACTGTTGAGATACTCTCCCAAGACATCCCGAGAAAAAACTGAATCCCCGCACCATGGCACGATCATGCACGATCCTCCCTGTGCTCTTGGTCGATATGAGTCGATCTGCGGAGGCCTGGCCCTTCAAGCCAGCCAAGACTCCAGCATTTTCGCTGGAGAAGCTCAAGGTGGGAGAGCGACGCCGTTCCGACGATCTATGCGGGTCGGTCAGGGTCGGTCGACTTGTGGATTGGTTCGGGTTCCTGCTCTTCTTTTTGGGGGTGCAGTGTGACATACCTTCCCCCAATTTCATTGCGGATCACTGCGGATTAACGGAGGGTATGGTTGGCGACAGCTTCCTGTCCGGGGGCGGAAACCTAGGTTCATTGTCCAACCAGGTGACCCAGGAAGCAGCTACCGATATCATGATTGCGATGAGGGGTCGATGGCTAGCTTGATGGGTTCGAGTGCGGCAAGAGCTAAGAGCTTGGCTGAGTCGCCCCTGGTGTGGGCTCGAAGGGGGAGATGGCATGGGGGGGCCGAAGGAAGCAGAGGGCGTCGTCTCGCTTTCCGGTGGACCAAGAAACACCGGTTGCGGTTTTTTCTCAGGTGCGGAGTGTTGAGGGATCGACTCGGCCCGACTGATAGCCTCCGGTTCGACCATTTTAAACATGATTGAGGCTGGTTTTGCAGTGTAAAATCCTTAGCTAATAAGTATCCTAACCACTGAGCCCACTTGGGCTCCGTTGAGTTCCTTCTTTGTTCCGGCGAGGTCAAGGTGGACCACACCATCGAGAAGCTTCTATTCCGCACCAAGACCAATGAGAAGACCATCTTCTCCGGCGCCGCGAGCTCAGTGACCATCTCTCCACCGAGCGTGGACTGGACCGTGGTAGGCATGGGTCGTCCATGGAAGGCTTTTTTGGGTGGTCCAGCGCCCAGGGGGTGTAAGCCCATTCAACCGTTTTCAACCCCCTAACCCACCAGAGACGTGGGAATGACTCAGCAAGCAAAGGGTTGGTCACCTTGCTGCTGTTTGATGCTATTTGGCCATTGGCCCATCAGCGCGGAAGCAGCATGATCGTTTCGTCGTTTGCCCGCCCAATCGAGCATTCGAGCGATCTGGTATGATCGTTTCTGTCGGTGTCTTTGTCTCGCAGAAATCCTGAAAGTGCTATACAGGGGTGATTTGTAGTTGCATTGATGCATAGATGAATGCACATGAATGCATATGATGATGACATCAATGACATCCACACACCATGAAGTGAGACTCACCCACCTTTCAGGCCGACTTTTTATATATCCGCAAAGGGATGCAAAGGGCATCAGGGCAATGTTGGTGTAGAGGGAAACCAGGACTGAGCTACGCTAGCATGGCCAGTGGACATGCCGTGTGAGTCACATTTATTGAGGACCGCCGTATGGATGAAAGATGCTTTTTTCACCCACTGCAACACCTTTTGGATCGAGCAAACCGGTCAAATGGTTCAAACATATATTAGGTCCATTTGAGATTCAAACAGTGTGACCCCTATGACGAACGGCAGACCCTTTGCCGTCTACCAACCCCGTGGATCCTTCAGCCGTGGTTGCCCAGGTGGCTGGGGGCAACCAATTCGCCACAGTTTGGGTCCGAGACTTTTGCCATGCCACAGGCAGGGCTTGCTGAGAGCGCTTTGGCAAACCAGCAGCCGTTGGCCGTTGGCCTTTTGGGATTCAGTTGGCCTTTTGGGATTCAGTTGGCCTTTTGGGATTCGGGAAGGGACACTTTTTCCACACAGTGAAGTCTGAAGCATCGGACTTTGGCAAAGCCGAGGAATACAATGGAGTACAGACCAATTGACCAATTGTAAAGCCACTGTGAGAGAAACATCTCTTTTAGTACATTCCTGCAGAGGGTCTTCTTCCTCATGAACGAGAAGTTGGGGAATTGAAGAATTCAGCAAGCTGCTCAGCAAGCTGCGTTTTCTGCAAACGTGTATACACATGGCCTGGATGTGGATGAGTTTTGCCACCAACTCAAACAGGTCAAACAGTTTCATCAATCATCAATAATACTGGATTGTCCCGTGGGCCCCAGAACAACAAGAACAGTCCAACATGTGTTGGTTCCGCACAACGCCAACCACGGATCCTCCGGAGAAGACCTGCTTCAGCGAGCACGGTTGAACGATCGGCATGCTCCGTCAGACCCCCCTGAACGCATGCACGCGGTTGAGCACGGGTCCTACCCCATTGGAGCCGTACTTTGAACCGGGTCGGATTCACAAGATCTACAGCGGACCTTTGAGCATTTGTTTGAACCTCCAGTGGTTCAAGCCTTGCACGCGTGGAACCATTGAAGAACTTTGCCTACGCTAGCAGATTTCGCTTCGTTGCTTTTGTTCAGGCGGCCTTCTACAGCAGCCAAGCTGGCGCATCAACCACAAGGATGTCCCGCCGGGAATGCTCAGTTCGTTACTGGGGGATGCTGACGTTTTGGTGTCCAGACTTCTTCAAGCGTTCACCGGATGTTTGCCTGGCTGGAGTTCTCCTTTGGGGGCAAGTTGTGAGGAGTCGTCAGTAAAGATAGATTGTGACACAGGTGAGCCGGGATCTTCTCTTTCCAACACCTAAAGAGCTATGCCGGCTATGCCACCCAAACAAGGCGTTTAGGATGTTCATTGCAGGTTGGAGGAACCAATCAGACGTTGATATGCTTTTCTGGTTATGAACTAGAAGCCTTGCAGATTACAGGTTGAACGTCGCCTTGCAATGCCCACTTGATCCTTCTTACATTGCAGGCTCAGACCACGTTCCTTTCAAGTCCAAAATCCAACTGAACTGCTTCTCATGTTGCGAACCAAGTCTTGCAACTTCAGAACACAGCTTCCAAACTGCCTTCACCACCTCTACGTTGTCCCATCGCCTGTGCCCTGCATGCCGTCAACTCCCACCCGTTTCTTTCCAATGGCCAATCAACTTGTGACAAGCTGCAGCGCTGCAATAGTCCTTCAAGTTTGTGCAAATCGGACACTGACAGACCCCCTCTTGAGGGGGCACCCCTGTGGCCGGAGGATCCCAAGTTCTCCTTGGGACGGAACCGGAAGTTCGGACGTCTACCTTCGATGGCGCACCTGAGGTCCACGAAGATCGTGCGGAGCACCTTGGAGGCGATCTTGGCGCTGGTGGAGGACGGCCAGGGCGACGTCGCCCAGATCAAGGCCGTGGAGCCGGCGCGACGTGAGGGGCGCGACGGGCTGGGCAGAGGTGGCGGGCTGGAGACCGGAACTGTACAGTTGGTCCAACCTGTGTGGAGCTGTCCAAGAAACTACCAAGATTAAGATGAAGACTGCAGGTGGGTAGATCTTCGTAGGCTAGGTAGTGAGATCGCCAGTTTCGTTTGAAGGGTGTTTGATCCGACCTCGAAGATTTTTGCCAAGAAAGGTCCAGCTATATAATGCTATATATATATATATCACGTAACATGTCCTGTCTCTTCTTTTACCACCACATGAGCAGATGACCCCTGTTGTGCTACCGTGTACCATGTCGTCACATGTCGGGATCCAGAGGGCTTTGCTACCATCGGTTTCCGCACAGCGGGTGGAACACACGAGCATCGCTGGTGTTTTGGGGTCGACATGACTAGATGGCATGTGGGGTCAGCATGGGTCAGCACTGTAACTCGGCAGTTTTCCATTCAGGTTTCAACATGTGTCAACTCCTTGTGTTTGGTAGCTATATAAATCGTAATAGATCAAGAATGCACCACCGTGGCCACCCCTAGGTGAACAGTGTATAAATACGCTGCGAGGTCAGATTCACCCAAACCAGGGTTCCTGGATCATGTTTGGTCCACATGTTTCAAAATGTTTCGAATGGACAAGCCCGTAACTGTGTGGTCCACCTGTCACCCCATTTCATCCTCCACCTCTTTGGCCCATCTTCCGCCTTCCGACCCAGATCCCCAGAGCCTTGGACTCCTTGGGACCGCATGAAGATCTGCTGACCCTGAAAGTGCTGCAGGGCGGAGCCAACCTCAGCCACTCGGCCAAGCCCTCCCGTGTCGGTGGAGCGCCGGAGCGGAACGCCGAGATGAGTGGTGGAGATGGATGCGCTGGGACCTCTAGAAAGATCGAAAACAAAGATCGAGACCAGAAGATGGTGGGTGGGTAAGAAGCTTTGAAAAC